CTCCAGGATCATGACCTGAGCCGAAAGCAGTCGCTTAACCAACTGAGCCACCCAGGCGCCCTCATTCGTATCTTCTTGAGTGAGTCTTTAACATACACAAAAATAAGAGACAACTTGCTTCACATCTGGAAGCACTGTAATGTTTCTTGCCTAGCATCCACTGTGGAAAATAGGAGCAAGCATGTACTGCTCAGTCATTGTCAACCAGGCACTTTCCATACCATCTCGATTTAACGTGTTCAGTGTTTATAGTCAGTATCTCCATGCTCAGTTGCAAATGCAGCTATAATCCTTAGGTTTCAGGCTGTGCATGCAGGGCGCATTGCCTACGGGGTTCTTAAGTTCCTGGCGTTGTAGAAACTATCACACTTTGTATATTGAAAAGATTTCTTTTTAAACAAATACAAAATAATTACTATGGTGCCCATCATTCTCCTTCCCTCATAGTGACTTTCTTACATGTAGTATATGTCCAAGTCTTAAAATAAGGTTTATGTTTTCATTCCTTTAAGGCAGGAGAGTTTACATATACACAAATCAAGTATATGTAAACTTGTGTTATGTTTGATTCACATAGCCTAGTGAGGTATGATTCTGCTCCAGTCTGTGACTTAGACCACATCCAGTGCTATTTTGGTTAGATTCAAACTGCAGCATTTTACTATTTTTTTTTACGAGCAAATAAAGGCCTAGCCTTGCAATCAAGGAGTTCTACCATACATGTAGCCCAACCCAAATTCCCAGTCTCCCCTACTTTTACTTCCTAACAAAGCCTAGTTTATGTAAAAGCATATTGGACTTGCTTATTGCTGGTCACCTTTCTATTCAAACAATGTTTCTAATTCCTGCATGATATTTGACTCTCCTGCCCCCACCACAACTTTAACCAGTTCTTATGTGTCTCTCTTTTCTTCTTCTCTTCAGTTGCTTTCAAAACCACTGCCATGGCATCAACCATCACCTGTATTTTTTTTGTTCAACCATCACCTCTATATATCTCATTCTCATGTCCTCCCCTTTGGACCTGAACTCTCTACAGAGTCAGAGGTGTAGTCTTTGTAATCGTGGGCCTAAGATTCCACCTGCCTGTTGATAGATGTTTCCACTAGATATCCCCTCCACTGACACACCTCAAAGACAGTATTTTAATACACTTAGACTTATCTTCTTTGTTCATTCTCTATCCCTGTCATTAGCAGCCCCATCCATCAAGACGCCTAAGCTGGAAACATCAGGATTATCTTTGAGTCTTCTGCTGATGTGATATTAAATATTGTTATGTGTCTTTTGTTTCGTTAGTTTGAGGGCCCAGCACATAGTCTCTTGTAGAGCAGCTTCTCTCTTCCCTTGTGAAATGGATTTTCATGCCAAATCTTTCTGTGACATACATTCTCCTCCTTCTCTCTCACTGTGCTCCTGGGAATTCTCTCATCTCTTCTCTCTGCTTCTGTCCTTTCTTCTAAACCCCTTCTAGAGGAAAGTATACTAGCCAATTCATCCAATTTCTTTTATTTTACCCCATAGTCCTACTTTCCTTCTCTTCTGCTACTTTTCTAGAAGCAACACGTACAGTAGAAAGAATAAATTTTGGGGGACGCCTGGGTGGCTCAGTCGGTTAAGCGGCTGCCTTCGGCTCAGGTCGTGATCCCAGGGTCCTGGGATCGAGTCCCGCATCGGGCTCCCTGCTCCGTGGGGAGCCTGCTTCTCCCTCTGCCTCTCTCTCTCTCTCTGTCTCTCATGAATAAATAAATAAAATCTTTAAAAAAAAAAAAAAAAGAAAGAAAGAATAAATTCTGGAATCGGTCTGGATCCGGATGTGCTCTGTCACTTATTAACTTGTGCTCTACCAAGTTAATCAACCTTTCTGAAGCTCATCTGCCTTATCTATAAAGTAGACCTAGATCACCTTCCTCACAGGGCTCATGTCAGGGTATAATGATATAAAGAATATGATGGTCAGGCTCTGTGCACTCAGCAGCTCTCAACCCCAGCTCTCAATTCCATACTAATTCTCATTAGCAGAAAGGAGGACAAGAGACCTGTGCCCTGCTCTTCATCTCTTCCATCTCAAAGGCTCTGGGCCATATTTAATGAGCATCTCTGGAAGAAGCTCCTTATTTTCACTACCAGTGGTTGCTGCTACTTTACTACAATTCATCTCAAACATAGCTGACTCATTGCTGGACAAGGAAGGCATTTTTATTTCCATTTAAAAAATGAGGAGGGGCGCCTGGGTGGCTCAGTCGGTTAAGCGTTTGCCTTCAGCTCAGGTCATGATTTCAGGGTGCTGGGATCAGGCCCCCCATATGGCTCCCTGCTCAGCAGGGAGTCTGCTTCTCCCTCTGCCTCTGTCCCCCTATCCCCCATCCCCCTCCCCCTGCTCATGTGCTCTCTCTCTCTCTCAGATAAATAAATAAAATCTTTTACAAAAATATATTTAAAAATGAGGAAACCAAAATCCACAGAAGTTACACCGTTGACCCAAAGTACATACTTAAAAGAGAATTTGGGGGAAATTGTCCTCAGGAAATGTGTCCTTGGGCATAAAAAATGTACTTTGATATTAGTTAGCTCTCAGCAAATTGATTTCCAGTTTTTGTTTGTTTGTACTTTTCAGCTTAGTCAATGATTAGTGTTTGCAGGGTGTCCTAAGAATTGTGAGAAGAGCTTCTATAGGATCTACTCCGTCATCCATTTACCAGGCAGAACCAACTTTATTCGTTTTAGACTGATGGGAATGTATCTTTTTTTTAAAAGCAATCCGGATGAAACACTTGCCAGTTTCTCCTTGGATGGGCCATTCCAGTGTTAAATTTTCCTTACTTTAAATAAGGCCTTTAAGTAAGCCATTCTGCCTTGCATACAGATGGAGAAGAGATTGCTTTCTTTGTTCTTTCGGAGCTATCAGGAGCCTTAAAGTCAGACAGAACTGAATTCAAATTTCACCTTTGTCTTTTGCCACTTAATAGCTCTCTAACCTTGAAAAAGTTATGGAGTAGCTTTAAACCAGGTATTTTAATATCTATTACTAAGTTTACTCTAAACATTAAATTAGGTCATACGTTTAAAGAGCTTTACAGAAGTTGGCTGAGAGTCGGTGCTCAATAAATGGCAGCGTGTTCCTTCCAGGGAACAGGTTTCACATTTATTATAGTCAGGGGAATTCAAATCATGTAAAAAACAAAACATACAAAAGGAACATTGTTGAAATGACAGCCCCACGGTTGTGCTCAGTTACAACACATAATGGTCTCTGGATAGTGATGACTGTAGTGTTTCTCTCTTTGTTTCCAGGATGTGATATTGTCTTCATCTTTTATCTGCCAAATAATTTAAACAATTAAACAATTTGTAGAAAATATACAGCATCTACTACTCTCTCTCTCTCTGTGTCTCATTGCATTTTAATTACAAGAAAAAGCAATTATTTTTGCAGGTGTACTTTTTTTTTCTCGATTTACATAAAAATGATCTCTTATCCTCTTACCCTCTTTTTCCTAAATGAGGAGGACAATGAGGATCTGAAATGCCAGCTGCAGTTCGTGAAGGAAGAAGCTGCTTTGATGAGAAAGAAAATGGCCAAGATTGATAAAGAAAAGGACAGATTCGAACACGAGCTTCAGAAGTACAGATCCTTTTATGGAGATCTGGACAGTCCTTTGCCCAAAGGAGAAGCCGGGGGGCCTCCCAGCACCAGGGAGGCTGAGCTCAAGCTGAGGCTGAGGCTGGTGGAGGAAGAAGCCAACATCCTGGGCAGGAAGATCGTGGAACTGGAGGTGGAGAACAGAGGCCTGAAGGCAGAACTAGACGACCTGAGGGGGGACGACTTCAACGGCTCGGCCAACCCCCTCATGAGGGAGCAGAGCGAATCCCTGTCGGAGCTGCGGCAGCACCTGCAGCTGGTGGAAGACGAGACGGAGCTGCTGCGGCGGAACGTGGCCGACCTGGAGGAGCAGAACAAGCGCATCACTGCGGAGCTCAACAAGTACAAGTACAAGTCCGGCGGCCACGAGAGCGCGCGACACCACGACAGCGCCAAGACCGAGGCCCTGCAGGAGGAGCTGAAGGCGGCACGCCTGCAGATCAACGAGCTCAGCGGCAAGGTCATGCAGCTGCAGTACGAGAACCGCGTGCTTATGTCCAACATGCAGCGCTACGACCTGGCCTCGCACCTGGGCATCCGCGGCAGCCCCCGCGACAGCGACGCCGAGAGCGACGCGGGCAAGAAGGAGAGCGACGACGACTCGCGGCCGCCTCACCGCAAGCGTGAAGGGCCCATCGGCGGCGAGAGCGACTCGGAGGAGGTGCGCAACATCCGCTGCCTGACACCCACCCGCTCCTTCTACCCGGCGCCCGGGCCCTGGCCCAAGAGCTTCTCCGACCGGCAGCAGATGAAGGACATCCGCTCGGAGGCTGAGCGCCTGGGCAAGACCATCGACCGGCTCATCGCCGACACTAGCACCATCATCACCGAGGCGCGCATCTACGTGGCCAACGGGGACCTGTTCGGACTGATGGATGAGGAGGACGACGGCAGCCGCATCCGCGAGCACGAGCTGCTCTACCGCATCAACGCGCAGATGAAAGCCTTCCGCAAGGAGCTGCAGACCTTCATCGACCGCCTCGAGGTGCCCAAGTCTGCGGACGACCGCGGCGCCGAGGAGCCCATATCCGTGAGTCAGGTACAGTTCTGCCTATTGCGAGCCACGGCGATGGCGAGGCTGGTCCGCGGATTCGTGGTCCCCGATGGGGCATCTCCGCGCACCGACCTCCACGCCCCGCTTTAGGGAAGTCCCCGCTCACTGGGCTTCGGAGCCCCACAGCGCACCTGTTCTCTCACGCTGCCCTTCTTCAGGCCTCAGGTTTTCGTAACCCACTTAGGAACTCCCTCCCCTCTGTTTTGTTTAAAAAGGAAATTTACACACACACACACCCCCTCAGTTTTTGTGTAAAGATTAAAGGATCTTTAAGATACATTATTTATTTGTCAGTATGTTCAGTATTACTTTACTGAGTCTAATGGATCAAGCTGCAAGAAGATCCCAGATGGGAATCTTTAATTATGTATTTGCAGGTTTTAAACCAAGATTGAAATTGAGTTTAAAATTTTTTTAAATGTTTTAAATATCCAGGATTATTGTATAACTACTGACAAATGCACAAACCAGCAGTAAAGAGAGAGGATGCTGTGTCTAGGGCCCTACCAAAAGGAACAAATGGAAGTCATTCCTTTACCACAAGTGGAAGTAACAGAATCATTATTTCTAGAAAAAAAAAAATCACTGCCAGTTCTCTAGTGGAGACTCTCATGACTGGGGAAGGAGTGTTTAACTTTAACGCAACACTGATCCAGAGAACTAGTGATAACTATTCCCGAACAGGGAAAACCAGCATTTTTCCTTCATCCTAATTTGTAGAGGCACAACTGATGAATTGGACTGAGCTGCTCTAGCCAGGTATGGTGGCCAAAGACCCATGCATTTTGTCAGAATTAACCACATAAGAGAGAATTTGTAAAACATAACAGGCAGCGCTACCTGTCTGGCAAGCCTCCTGTCCTGTATCAACTGGAGAACCCACGGAAGTACAACAGCATGCATGGCTTTTAAGACACGCAAGAGATTTAAACTTAAAAATCAGTGTATACGCAGAAGCATGACATTAAATTAACTGCCTGTTAGTCACAACTAGAAAATTGCAACCCTATTGCTTATTTACATTGCATGTTGCTCCGCTTTGCTATAAAAAAAAAGTTTTATGATAAAACATTGAATTTTGAAATGTTAAAGCTTATTGTTTCTCTAATTATGTCAAATGGTTGGTTTTTAGTTTCCTTGTAGCAGATTTTTGAATACTTGAAGCATGTGGGTTTTCAATTATACCATCAGGGAAAAAAACAGGAATCAGAGTGAGAGAAAGCACTGTGTATAATAATAGGTTTCAGATTTTGTAAATACAGGCTTGAGGGAGGGTTCTTCTTCATCTTAAATTGATTGGATGCTTAGATTAGTTAATATAAATTTAAGTTTTAAAAATTATTATTAATTAACTCTTCTCTTTGTCTCTGCATTTACCTCCCCAGATGTTCCAGCCTATCATTTTACTTATTCTCATTCTTGTATTATTTTCATCACTTTCTTACACAACAATATTTAAACTTGTCTTCCTTTTTACACTATTTTTTGTACTGTAAATCTTTCATCATTTACCATTCATTGTAGTATTTTCAGTTTGTTTATTTTGTTCACCCTCCAAGACAAGAAGTAAAAGAAGTATAATTTCTGTAATAATCAATGCTATAAAAACACTGAAGACTGCTTATTTTTTAAAAAGACACATCTTACCACTACCAAATTCAATAAGAAGCCCAAGCATTAAAATATTTCAGGTAAGCAAGTAATTGTGACTTTTTATATAAATCTTTTTAATTTTTGCTTCTTTCTTTTACATCTTAATCTGCACTCTTCTTGATAAATAATTATGACTGTAAAAATTGACTAAATCTTTCAATTATTTCTCAGTAGTTGACTATTATGATAACTGAAAAGCTGGACATTCACAAGATGATCACATTTCAAAATATAGATAGATGGACTTATAAAGGATCTTTGCTAGGTTGCATCAGACTAACAAGATAGTTTTGATATCCAGTAAATGTTAGCAAAAATTATGGTGAATGAATGAAATGTGACCATCATGGAAAGTAAGCAATTCGTTGTGATGCTTGCTGTTGGTATTCTGTTTAAAAAGATGTGTTTGGGAGCAAGAGAGTGGATTAGGCCTTAGTTCATTGAGAAAGTGATTATATCTCTCCTACTGCATTTGACCAGCTCTAAGCAAAACAGCCATTTCTGCATTTACCTAATATACTTGGACATTTGTTGCTGATAAAATTTGTTGCCTGGAGTTCTGTCCTCTAATAGATTATCACACAGAACTGCTTCCAGAGTAGGGAAAAAATAGTCATTCTCTAGAATTTCATTAAGTCACAATCCAAGGCCAGTGGCATCATTCCACTGTTGGAATCTATTTATATCTAGAGTTGCTCTCTAGATATAAACTCACTTTGGTGAACCTGAGCATCTCCCTTTCTCCTCATCCCTAAAGTGGCGTGGATAGGTTCCATGTACCCAAAATGTCCCGTTCTATCCATCTTGTTGACAATTTACCCAGTGGAAAACTGGAATGCACCACTGCCATCAAGATTCAGAAATACCAACACTCATGGAAGTCATGCACTCAGAAATGCTTTGCAGGTTGGCTGGTGGATATGAAAATCTGTGGTAAAGTGAGGTATCTTGCGCCTCAGCATCAAGAATAGTATGTGGAAAATCTTTGCTCTACTACGAAAGTTGGTTCTGGAAACAATCTCTTGAACCCTCATCCCCCAGTACCTCCATTTCCCTTTGAGTAGTAATTTTTTAAAAAAGAAAAGATAACCCTTCACAATTGTTGAGAATTCAGTTTAAAATAACTGTTCTTAGTCTCCATGTTGTTATTTACATGTTTTGGGGGGGGGGGGGGGGTTGGCTTTTGTTTTGTTTTGTTTTGTTTTGGAGGGAGGAGAGACCAGGAGTGAGGAATTGTTAGCCAACAGTTGGAATCTGTCACTATCTACTTGGCTTTTCGTCTTAGAGATTCAAAAGGCTAGGTAGCACTTTATGACAAAAAGAAATGAAATCATCTAAGTGCTGTATTTAATCAATTATTCCACTTTTTACTTTTTTTAAAAAAATGATCTCAGGGAGAGCAACCACTTTAAAAATCAAAGTCTATCTGTTAGATCCTTGATTAAGCCTCCAGCCCGCCATCTTAGGGGACCATTTTGGTAACAGAACTGAAAGTCAATGTTTGATGGCCAAAGTTTATCTGAAATGTTTATTGCCATTGAAGCCACATACACCCACCTAAGCAATGTTTCTCAACTACCTGTGGAACATTTGATGGTTTATGGAGGTGTTGTAGGTGGCCAAAATGACTGGGAAGCCCTAATGGCAGTAAGAGGAAAGGAGTCAAAATCTCAAATAATTGTCCCACCAAAATGGTTAATATTGTCCCTCTGATGAAGCATGGGATGCAGTGCACCTGTTCACTTCAGAAGTATCATGGATATTCACCACCCTGTGTGGCTCTAAGAAACAGGCTTCAGAATTGTTAACTTTCTTTATCATGAAAGAATCAAAAACTCAGTATCTAGATCAGTGGTTTTCAATCCTAGCTGCACACTGGAATTCCTGAGATGTTTCTAGAATTGAGCCCCTACCTCACCAAGTGAATTTTTGAATCCAGGCATTTGTATTTTCTTAAATTCCCAAGAACCATTTCTTTAGATGTTTGAGTTGTCTAAAGTATGTATACGCAGCCTGTCCCAAGGCTGCAGCAAGCTACATGAGGCCAGCGGTGTAGAATCCTGAGGCACCTAGGTTTCAGTAGACCTTAAAGTTTCCACCATTCAGTGGATGTCCACAGCCTCCCTAGAGCATTTCCATCTTTGTTATTCGGTCTTTGCCTCTAATGACAAAGCAGTTCTAATTCCACAGTGGTGCAGTGTTAGAAGACTCTCCTTTCATTAATACTGGTTCTCGAAACCAATAAAAGCAGAGACGACAAATAGGAATGATATATGACAGAAAGGAGGACCAAGATGAAAAGTGCGTGGGTGCAGGGTCATGCACACAGCTGCAGGTGTAGGCACATGCACACCCTCAACTGGAGCCTCAAGATGACCACACACACACACACACACACACACACACCCTGGCAATCCACACTTTGTGGATGTGTATACAGTTATTGATGCCACAAAGCTTTCCATGAGGTGTGCCACAAATCCTCTGGGAATGATGGGTGCCGGCTGACTCTGCTGTCCAAACCAAGATGAGAAGGCATATACAAGAGGTGTGAGAATGCAGCAGAAATACAGAGCATGGATCCCTGTGTATTTAACAAACATTGTAACGTGGTGGCTGTTAGGTGCAGACAAAATGAATTTCGGTGTTTACTCTTTTTAGCACGTTCAGTTGGTTGATTGACCCAGATGGACATGTAAACAGCTAACTCTAACAGATACTCTTACTGGAGTGTAAAAACAAACAAAAAGGCTCGTGGTTGCAATTTATTTTTATTGGACACCTGATAGCATGTTGGATTTCCCTAAGAAAATGATAAAATCCCACGACATTCTTGCATGGAATGATACCATAAATAAATAAATAAATAAGTACAGGGGTGCCGTTTATACCTCAACAGTATCCTGTGGCCTGAATAAGAAAGGAGAGGCTAACCAAGGAAGGTCTGGGCTGATCAAAACACCGGTCCCCTCCTTAGATCTCTTGTTAGGAATTAAAGTCATCCTGCCGACAGGGTTATTAATCTTACCTATGAACTTCTAAGGCATTGGTTTTAGAGAAGAATTCATAAGAATCTTGAACTTCATCCAGGCACTCCATATATGGAAACCCAGGAAGAAATTGAGGAGGGGAAACAGGACTGACTTGTCTACTGCTCCCAGATTCTGGGGAATTGGGGTCAATCTGACAGCTTCTCTGAAGTTAATGAGGCAACTTTACCATATAGTTGAATTCCAGGGAGACTCTTTCCAACTCTGCTCTACCCACTGCATAGCCCACTTTCCGGTTTGTACCCACATGTAAGCACACACCTCTCCCACACTGCTGTGTACAGTGAGACATGCATCCAGAATCAGGGAGTTCAGACCTGCCTCTATCTCATGGGACTGCTGGGGGCCAGTATTTGGGAGGTGGTCTTAGCAAACTGCCAGGAAGCACAAAGCAACCTTGCCCCTTGCTGCCTTCTCCCTGGAACTTCAGGCTGTGCTATGGGTACCCACAGTCTGTGGTACATCTCTCCCTTACATCACAGACTATAGATGTGGGAACAGAAGTTAACAAAGATGGTACTCAAGACCTCGGAAGGAGCGTCCCCTGTATCTTCTTCCCCTCCCCTTTGATCCTGTTACTTGCTTTATCTTTGTTGTACAAAGCTATTTCTAAAAGAGGAACACCCAGGTTTCTTTGTCCATTGAGAGAACAAAGTCCCCCAGTTATTGAGACAAGGAATTTTCTCCTATTTGTACTTTTGAAGCTGTGCTATTTAAACACGACACTGAAGCTTTGCACAGTGGCAGTATTGTAGCCAATGAGGTTTATCCGAGGTGTGATTATTGCTAATTGAAAACTAAACATGACACTGAAGAGAAATTAAAAAAAAAACCAAACCTCATTGTAGAAAATTCCCTTGCATGCACATTCTTGGGTGTAGGGAGTGTCTTTGGTAATTTGGCCTGGATTTAAGAAAAAAAATTTAGTTGGCTATTTTTGAGCATAACTGACTCAAACTCATAAAACAAAGGAAAATTCAGTGCTGAGCCTGGAATGTGTATTGGCCTGCATTCTGCAACCTTCATTTCAATCCGTGTGGTAGAGTTGCGACACGGTTATTTAATCAGCTGCCAGTGAAGTTTGGTATGTCAGTTTGGTAGCGAAGCCCTAACTCCAAATATTCATGCACTGCTCGTAGCTGTATTCCTGTAGAGCTCCAGCCCACTTTCATCTGCTTGTCATGCTTTGGGTCAGATGCTCTAACCGGAGGTAAGGATTGAAGTGAAAGTGGCGGAGGATGATATCAGAAAGTGAGAAAACCTGTCCTACAATGTTGATTTTCTGTAGTCTCTGCTGAGTGTTTGAGTTGAGCTGCTTATGTATCTATGTTAACAAACAAGACTCGCTACATCATTATCAAAGCCTAGCAAATAACATTTGTCCCTTTCTGAGGTAGTCCAACATAATGTACTGTGAAAGCACTTCAGCTCTTTAAATTCATGTTGAAAGTACCTTCTTAATCTATGCCTTTGAAAATTAAGAGGGTGTGAGGGGCAGAGAGAAGCTCATCAGTTTGTCCACTGGCCTCAAAGGCTCAAATGGCTTAGTAATGGAAGAGAATTTAAGAGGTTTTTTTTTTTAGATACCTTATAGAGTCTGTTATTTCTTAAAGTCAGAAAACTCAGTTTAGCATCTAGTTTATAATTTCCTTTCTTCTTTTTCATGAATATGTGCAGCTTTTGCACAATCCATGTCATTTCCTCTGTATCATGAATTCCTGGACAGATAAAACAGAGCTCGACTTTTTAAATAGAACAAGCTATGTGTCAGCCTAAATCAGTCACTTAGAACTTCAGAGGTGGAATGTAACATAACAAGTCAGCAGAATTAGTTTATTCTGGATTTTAGGTGACTGTTAGGAATCTGAGCTCCTTTACCTGGAAGGAAAAAAAATGCATACCCGCTGAGGGACCAGAGCCACTGCATGGGGAGGTCTTAGCCTTAATCTAACTGCTCAGACTCCAGATAGTGAAAATACCCGCTGTGAAGTAGCCAAAGGAAGTGGTTGACGGAAAGTTAGGATTCCCCAGCCTTGTACATCACGAGCTCTTTGTTCAAAGTCCTGATATTTGTAGAAAGTAGATGGATTCAGAAAAGCAAGGTAAACTCAAAATAGATAAGAAAGAATGAAGTCGCGGGACTCTTCCTGTCCAAAATATTTCAATGGCAACGGCATCAACAAAAGAATATGGTGTGAGGGCCGAGGACAGCCATTGGGGTACTGTGTTCTCGTCTCATGTGGACTTCCCAAGAGACCTCGGTGTGGGCCATGGGTCTGGCTGGCTCTGCAGAGTGCTCTGATCACAGTGTTCACAGAGCTGCCTGGAACTGTGGCTTTGGGCCTCGCTGTCTGTACCTGCATCTTTGGATTCTTTACCATAGTCTTCCCACGTCATGATGCCGCCTTTCTTTTCACCCGGGCACCAACCCATATGGTTAGCAGCCACCCAGACGGTCTCCCATTCTGATCTCCTCCCCTCCCTCTCCCCACACCCTGTCGCATGAAACGGATTCTTTTCCCAAGCTCCAGTCAAAGCTTACCTATATTTATTTGTTCTTCCCAGTCCTTTCTGTGTGCTAGCTCTTCTATTATGTGCCAGGGTGGGACTAGCCAGTAACTGCTTCCTCTGTCAATGAAATGTTATTAGACAATTACAAACTGGAAATACCTAATGATGATAAATCTAACACTTCTGGTTGAAGATACAGGTGGGCTGGCAACTCCCAAGGAAGGCGGGTCGGGAAAGGAGTGGGGACTTATTGCTGTGTCTTCAAATTATACCGGCTAAAGGGTCTCTCTCTCTGTCTCTCTCTTTCTCTCTCTCTCTCTCTCTCAGCCCTGTTTTACTGCTAGAACTTCCTCCCAGGGAGAAATGACTCAGGGTGGCCCTCTTGTGGTGGACCGGCATTCCTGAGGTCCTTTTCTGGAATAAGAGGTAGCTCTAGAACAATGGGTCCCGTTACTATTTCGATTTTCTTGTCATCATTATCCAAAACTCCCAAGTCAAGAATCTGGAAATAATATAATGAGATGCCAAAAACTAATTTGAGAACAGTAAGCAAAATCTATCTCTAATTTTAAATATAAACCCATACTCCTAAAATGTTTTATTGTTTTATTTCTTCAGAACACAGACCAGTACTTAAAAAGAACAGTTAAAGACTGTTTCTTTTGAATATTTCTGTCATCTGGAAATGCCTGTACGTAAGCCCCATGACAGATCTGCTTGGCAAAAAGCTCTGACATGCCACCAGCCCTCAGAATAGAAGAGAGAGCCAGCATCCCATGATTCTAGGGGGAAAGCATCCAGCACTGGGAAAAGAGCACATTCGCTGAAACACAACAATCTAAATATGTGACGGTCTAATATTCTGTGTGTGACTCTCATAATCTTATAACCCAAAACAGATTCTTGTCGGTTTCAAAATTATATTGCTTTTGCTAAGACAGAATCCAAACCCTGTCATTCTTGGACTAAAACAACACAGGACCCAATTTGCCAGAACTAGCTGTGGAACTTTGTAAAAATTAAGAAACCCTGGCCTCATCACCTGATTCCAAAGTCTGGGGGGAAGGTTCCAGCTTTCATGTTTGTTTTTTGTTGTTGTTGTTGTTGTTGTTTATAATTCTCTGAGTGATTGCAGGGAACAACAAGGCTGGGAGTTAACACTAAATTATGGTCCCCTTGATGGGATGCTGTGGGGACTAGGAGGAGAGGCTCTTTACATTTGTTTGTAAGTTTATTTTTGGGTAGTGGACTACTCAGGATGTGGGCGGTCATGCCACAGGTTACATTTCAGGAATTGTCAGCGTTGACCAAGCTTGTTGTGAATAAGGATTTGTCTTATTCTTCTTCTGGGCCTTAGAATCCATCAATATACCTGGCACAGAGTGGGTGCTCACAAATATTTGTTAAATGGAACATTAATTGGAGAGCCCAAGACCTCTCCCTAAAGAATGGAAGATAATTTAAGAGTCCAGAAGAGTTCTACTAAGCAACCGAGATCATGTATCATAAAGTATTTTGAAAATTGCAAAAGACATTATTCTAGAAAGAAGGTAAATTTTAAATATGTCCCCTATAATAGCCTCTAAGTTTTAGTATGTGTAAGAATGAGTTCAGTTTTTCAAAGTCATCGCTTTTCCAATTGTTTCCATTTCCTTGCCAAGGAAAATAGAAATACAGTACCCTTTCTACTAGTAAATATGTTTGAAGAGTAGAAGAAAAGGGACAGAAAAAAAATTATACAAACCAGAAGTCAGAAGCCACCCAGCCTCATACACAGTCAGAGTTGTCATAGCATAAAGAGATTAAATAAATGACTGCTTTGTAAGGCTTCGAGATCATCATCCAGATGAAAACTATAAATTAAATGTGTACCGCCTGCTAAAGGCAAAGTTGGAACGTTTATCCCCAGATTTTCTTCAACCACTAAATTAAAAATCCTTTTCTCTTTGCATTTAGACCCAAGATGTAGATTATCTCAGGCCACAGGCCTCTTTAGATAGTCAGTCATCAAGATAAATACTCTGCTATTTGATTCCTATGTTATACTCAGAAGATGGCGTATCATTTCCCTCATACGGACTTAGAAGAAGACTGAATTTAGAAGTTGACAAGGCCAGAAATCAACCCCTCATGCCCCAAATCCTTTTCCCTGGGTTCTTTTCCCTTCCCTTAAACTCCTTGGAATTTTAAACTTCAAGGCACTCCACCAAGAATGAGAAGACCGGGATTCTATTCCCAGCATTGCTAGTAAGTGGCTCTGTGATCTTGAGCAGATGACGTAGCATCAGGGCCTCTTTCCTCAGCTGTAAAACGAGAGGGTTGGCTAGATGATTTCAGAGGTCCTCTCTGGCTCTAAAATTCTCTACATCTAGAAACACCTGCTGTGACATTTATGCACTCAGTGTTCTTCTTTCACCCTTTCCAAAATGTTTTAGTCTCTGGCCTTAGGATTATTATGCATGTAGACCCTTTCAAATCCTTTTCAGGATTTTCTTTTTTGTTTCTCTACACCTAACTGGTGTTGCTACATTTACTTTACATGAAGTATTATTTTATTCATGCCCTTACATATTAGTTCTACATTGAGATAGGATTAGTATGGCACCAGATATGCATGATTCTTCCAAATTCTCTCCAATACACAGAGCAATGATTTGGGGCAATTTCATATTGGAAGGCATAAATATTTAAATGGTTTCAGAACAATCTAGATTATACCACAAATTGCATTTTTGCCATAAGGTTTTCAGCCATCCTGACATCTGCCTGAGAATGTCAGGCACTTCAAGATATCTGAATATCCCTGAAGGGCTGAGTACACCAGCATCAGTCTTTTTATGTACATAACAGTAGAAACTTTTCTTAAAGTTTTCTTGAACAATTTTAGTGAAAAGATTCAAAAGCACCTCTGCGGAGTATTTATTGCCTTCCTAATGCTTTCATCTTCTGTATATATGGCATGGAAATTGAAGCTAATACATATAAAAATTATTCAACAAAAAGAGTTGGTAAACACTAGAATAAGTGATAGACATGTGGGGTGAAACTGTCAAAGTCTTTTCCTAGTTTTTGGTTCTGCCTAATTTCAGGTGAGCTTCACCATGACAAGAAGCAGACGAAGCACCTGTGGTAAATAATTACTAGGATTTCCATGAAGAGGGCATTGGAGTAGATCCTATTAAGTGATACTGTAGAGGATAGCCCAACATCATTTCTCCCATAACTTAGCCACATATTATCTCAAGTTCTGATAGGATTTAGAGAACAGTCTTAATTTTATTTACAAAGGACCCATGGAAATGAAGAGGTTTGGAGTGGAAGAGAGTGTCGGGGCAGGGTGAGGTTACCAGATTCTTCTGCACAGGTGCTTTGGGGCAATCCCTTTCCCCACCCCAAGATTCCCTTCCTGTCCTGGTAAGGATAGAGGCAGAAATAACCTACCATTGTTTGGGTGCCTGGCACTGAAAGTATCCCTTCATACTCTGACAACAACCTGATGAAGTAAATATGATTATCCCTTTACAGAGGAAACACACTCCAAAGTTCACACTGATAAGTGATGGCAGTAGAATGGAAAACAAGATCTCCGTGACAAAATTCCCCGGCCTCCAGTTAGAGAAACCAGTTCCAAGCCCTACTTGTCCACATGGGCATCTCTCTATGAACTTTGGCAAGATACGGTACATCTCAGGGTTTTATCAGTAAGACTGGGTTAATAATATCGACAGATACAGGGCGCCTGGGTGGCTCAGTCGGTTAAGCGACTGCCTTCGGCTCAGGTCATGATCCTGGAGTCCCGGGATCGAGTCCCGCATCGGGCTCCCTGCTCAGTGGAGAGTCTGCTTCTCCCTCTGACCCTCCTCCCTCTCATGCTCTCTGTCTCTCATTCTCTCTCTCGCAAATAAATAAAATCTTAAAAAAATAATAATAGTATCGACAGATACATTTGCTATGAGGGTGAACAAGGATGAAGATATATTCCAAGTACTTAACGCAGAGCTTTGCAGAGAACTGTCTCTCCATGAGTAACCACTATTATTGCTATAACTATTATATTGTTATTGCTTTTGAAGTCACGATGCCAGGCATTCAAAACACAGCACGATTTCCTTCAATTGTACTATAGTATACATACTAAAGTGCTACCATGAGCAGGTTACTATTTCTAAACTTTTGAGCTCCCCAAGAAATACTTGTCTGGAAGCAGGCAAAAAATCATGTGAAAATGAATATGTAATGTTTTAATGACCACACAGGAAATTCTTCAGACTTGAGGGTAAAGGTATTTTTTTTTATTTTATTTTATTATGATATGTTAATCACCATACATTACATCATTAGTTTTTGATGTAGTGTTCCATGATTCATTGTTTGTGCATAACACCCAGTGCTCCATGCAGTACGTGCCCTCTTTAATACCCATCACCAGGCTAACCCATCCCCCCACCCCCCTTTCCTCTAGAACCCTCAGTTTGTTTCTCAGAGTCCATCGTCTCTCATGGTTCGTCTCCCCTTCCGATTTCCCCCCCTTCATTTTTCCCTTCCTACTATCTTCTCTCTTTTTTTTTTCAACATATAATGTATTATTTGTTTCAGAGGTACAGGTCTGTGATTCATCAGTCTTACACAGTTCACAGCACTCGCCATAGCACATACCCTCCCCAATGTCTATCACCCAGCCACCCCATCCTTCCCATCCCCCACCACTCCAGCAACCCTCAGTTTGTTTCCTGAGATTAAGAATTCCT